AACAACAACAACAACTACAACTACAACTACAACTACTACAACTACTACAACTACACTATACACAACAACTACAACTACACAACAACTACAACTACAACTACAACAACAACTACTACAACTACAACTACAACAACTACAACTACACAACAACTACAACTACAACTATATGACTGCAACTACACTACACTAATTACATTACACCACAACTACAACTCCACTACGCTACCACTACAACTACAGTTGCAGTACATCACACTACATCCAGCAGTTGTGGGTGAGGTGACCACTGCAACCATTGCAACCACTCCAGCAAACACAACTCCAACCACCTTCCGGTCAATCAGTGGATTCGCTCTGCCATCCGTGATTCACAACAACCAACGTCTCCTATAGGTTTCCTATTCTGAAACTTCAGCCACCGCCTTGTGCGGTACTACTGGTATTATTTATAGATTCATATAGCCACTATTTATAGATATGTATTTATAAGAATTAGATTCATTAGTATATGATAGTTATGTATAGATTCTTTAGAATTCATATAGGTTAGTGCATTTATAGATTATATTTATACTATGGAAAATATTATAATGGTTATTAGTCATTATCATGGTTGACTAATTATCCATAATAATATTGATAACGGTTAACTAATAATCCATGCTAATGGTAAAATTCATTATGAATAATAATCATTATCACTTATGTGTATTCATCATGGCTATGAGCTTACACATTACACATACATCTATTAGCCAGTATACGTATTAGAATTCATTTAGAATGTGTAATGTATATGTATGTCATTTAGATAGATAGATAGATAGATAGAGAGAGAGAGAGGGATAGATAGATAGATAGATAGATGGATAGATGGATAGATGGATAGATGGATAGATGGATAGATGGATAGATGGATAGATGGATAGATGGATAGATGGATAGATGGATAGATGGATGCATGCATAGATAGATGCATGGATAGATAGATGCATGGATAGATAGATGCATGGATAAATAGATGCATGGATAAATAGATGCATGGATGGATGGACGGATAGTTAGATCGATGGATGGATAGATAGATGGATGGATAGATAAATAGATACATAGATACATAATCTATGTGTTCATCATATAGCATGTTTATATATATATATATACATGTGGAGATGATATTGATATACCAACATCAACATACACCCCCTATGGTCATGACCATCTCTTTAAGCTCCATTCCATGACCAGGTCGCTGCACGTCACTCCTTCTCAATGAGCCTCTTCTGGGCTTCACGTTCCGCGCTGCGCCGTTGCTGGCGGACTAAGAGCTCCTGCTCGGCCTGGCTTCGAAGTTCCCGAAGTGAGATCACTTGGTCAAAGTAGCCCAAAATGGTGGGTTTTTGTTCAAATTCATGAGAAACCATGTCATTCAACACATAAACCATCATAAACCTGCATTCCCAAGGATGAAATCCCAACTCTTTGCAGATAAATGGGGGTGAAATCGGAACTCTGGGTGACATTTTTTCCCAACTTTGCAAGATTGAATTCAGATGTTTAATGATTGAAGCATGTTAAACCCAAATTTTGTGGTTTATATCTGTTCTATCATCCAGGCTGTTCATGGTTTTTGGTATGCCCGTCTCCAGGCTTATCATGTGGGAATGACGCCAGGACATATTTGAATATCATCCAGGCTTATCATTCCGAATCAAAATATCGCAACATTACAAATTATTTCAAAGATCATGTTGGTGGGCCAAAATCATGGTACGCCGGCGAAGCCCAGAATAGCGGCTAGCTATTTCATCCCCAACAAAAATGATGGCTATTGTATTGATCTATAGCCAAATCCTCCATTTGGATCATGAGAAATACCCCCAAATATGTGGATCATGAATATCCCATCAAATACCCCCTATATATCTCCATGCCTTATCACATTTAAATGGTGATAAATCTCCATTTTGGTAGGATCACCCCCCTGATTTGCTTGGTGAACCCACAAAAATATCAAATCTACCTTGTTTGATGGTTAAATCTGCTGAAATCCACGATAAATGTCCACAAGTCTCATTATACAAGGTGAGGTCCCCTTAGACAGCTAAGTTGAAGCAAATAACTTGGTTAACTAGGGTTTTTGGTGGATACAACCATTAGTATTCATCGTGTTGATAAACCAGCAAACATAACTGGGGGGCCTCACCTTGCATAAAAATGGTGATTTAAGCAATAAACAACGGTTTAATTTGAAGTTGATTCCTGTAACTGTAACAACGGTTGCAATGCGGGTAAAGCAACGTCATAAACCACGCATGGTTATACATGTTCATACCACCCATTTATGGCAAATTTGGGGGTGGCTTACTAAGCTTTACTGACATTAATTGTAATGACAGTATCTGGGTACATTATCATATTTCACTCACGTGAAACTTGTGGCTATTTGGGGAGAATTCCCCAAAAAACATTCACCACATTCAACATGATTCCAGTGAGAACGAGAACAGTGAGGTTGTGATCAAATTTACCCAGACAGTGTCCATTCTTTGCTGGATGATACCCAGCTTAGAGGGGCGGGCCCCATTGATCTAACCCATAAAATCATCCCAAAAAAAATCCAGTGGAGATATTCCGGTAATCTAACTTGAGGTTTTTGAGCCATTTATTATAATAGTCCATATATCCCATACATACCCTCTGGTAATTAAACATAGCTATGGAAAATCACCATGTTTACTGGGAAAACTCACGAAATCAATGGCCATGTTTAATAGCTATTTTGACATAACCAGAGGGTAACCCATTAAAGATCCCATGGAAATCTCCATGAAAAATCCCGCGTCGCGTTGGACAACTCTCCAGCCGCCTGCAAGCGCTGCGCTTCCCTCAGCTGCTCACGGCGCTCGCGCGCCTCTGCGCGGATTCGTTCCTGTGCACCCTTCAGCACCAATCGCTCCTCGTCCTGGCCCGGTTTTACGACGTGGGATTTCGCCGAAAATCGAGGATTTCACCCAGGGATGGTAGGAAAAATACATGATAAGCATCAAACGGTGGAAAATAACAAGCTTTCTAAAGGTAAACTTGATCCATCCCCATATCAACATGTGCGCACATGTGGTGGTATGGCTTGGTGGTGGGTTGGGTCTGGTAATTTGAAGTTTTAAACATGTTTTTAAAGAAAAAACCTAGTTCATTCAAGTTGTCTGAAAAAATTGTTTGTTTCCAAACAAACAACTTAAGTCAGTGCGGTCAGAAAACCTGTTAGCCACAAGTTTTTGTTCTCACCAGATAATTGCACCGTGATTAGGGGACCCGCCAGCGGGTGTTTCTGTACAAGGACGCTTTGTGCGTCCAACACCCGCTGACCGCCTTTTGGAGAGGAGGGGGTGAAAAATATCATGTACTGGGCAAAAAAAGGTCTGTTTGGACCACCAAAAAAGAAAACACAATTTCCCAGACCCCCCAAACCACCAACCCATACCACCACATAAGCCCAACCTGACCATATGGGTATACTACCAATAATACAATTTGCGGAAATTCTGAAAGGATGTTTTTCTCTTAGGATTAAAGCAATAATGGAATTGAATGAACTTAATATTCAACAAATTGTTCGAAATTGCCCGTCAAATCAAGACCAACCAGTTTATGGGGATATGTACTGATGGAAAGAGCCTTCCGATGGAAATTGGGGATTTGCATGAAGAATGGTGATTCAACTAACAAAAACAACAAAATGCAACTTGGTGTAAACTGGAGATATAAGGGCGGGGTTAACCAGCACAAATGGTGGCTTTACCACCAAAAACTGATGGAATTAACCCGGAAACACGGGACATGTTCAAATGATGTTGCTTGAGGATAAGACAATTAGTCGGATTAGAACCAAAAAAGATTGCCCTCAAATGATAGGAAAAGTCATAGGTGGGGGGGCAGAAAGCCAAGCATATTGGGGATAAACAAGTGATAAATGTGCTTAAATTTTGGATAGTGCCTTTCTCACTTTGGCAATGGAGTCAGTGACTCCAAGCAAATGAGTAGAAAAACAACCAGTCTATGAGGAAGTCTTATGGGAGATATAATGGAAGAGACAGCCAGCAATAGATGATGTTGAGATTTTGTTCCATCCGGCTATATCCCATTTTTGACAAACCCATACCCGAGCAATGCGGATTTTAGCGAACGTAAGAGTCAGATTTTAACCAACAGGGTTGCTGTATATAAATCGTACATAAGGGTTTTATGATGGTTTTGCCCCAAAAAAGTGGATTTACAACCATCTCATTGCGATCTAATTGGAAACTGATTTTCCAAAACCCTGGGACCTTAGAAGTACTGTACCCCATTGTGTAAGCAATCCAATATAGTGCTTGAAACAGTCTGGCGGATTCTTGCATTGTTTTTCCCTAGAATTTGGGAGGCATCACTATTTTGAATTAACTACATCCAAGTTTCAACCCTCGATTTAGATGATTCCATTGTATTCCGATTATAATGATCAGTGACTGGAATATAATCCATTGAGAATCAACTGTATCTTCACTATTTGAACCATTCTTCCGTATTATACATATACAGATAATTACACATGAAGGAACTCCCAGTGAAGACACCCGTTGGACAAAATTTGCGCAAAATGGGAACTCCCAATACATGTTCCCAATATCTCTTTTCTTGCAATATTCCAGTCCTGCGGGCATTCAACAATGGTTCCCAATAAATTATGTTCCAGTAAAATTGCCATAGTTCTATTCCTAGAGGATATATGAGAATTACAAAATCCCTAGTAACTATCAAGTATAATGTGGGAAAGCCAATAGTAAACCATCCCCAAAATCGCCACAAATGTGTTGTGTAAACCATCGCCAAGGTTTATGGCATTGGCTTTACCACATTGGATATTCACCATTGTTTCTCCATTAACCTTTAATCGCTATCGCAATGGTTATCCCAATTGTAATCATCCATACCAACCATTTTCCTAATGATTATAATCCCATTAATCCCATTATAATCCATGACCCCCAATGGTTTTCCCAATGGTTGGCAGTTGATGTTCACCATCGTTTCTCAACCCGCAGGAATTCCCATCCACCTCCGCAGACAAAAAGCGACAGCGGCTGCCACTCGCACCACGGCTGGCAGCGCTGGCAGCACGGCTGCTGGGACTGGGGCCCCGCGACACCCCAGGGCTGCGGCTTAAAGCCTGGAGACCGCGAAAAGGATGGAAAAGGTATAACCATGTTAGTATGCTGTATGTGTATACATATATATATATATATATATCCATTGATTTACAGTAGTTATTTATCTGTGTATTTTTATTTATTTATTTATCTATTTATTTATTTATTCATTCATTTATTTATTTATATATTTATATATTTATATACTTGTATATTTATATATTTGTTTGTTTATTTATTTATTTATTCATCTATGTAAATGTATGCATGCATGCATGTATGTATGTATTCATGTATTCATGTATATATATATATATATTCATGTATGTGTTCAATGTAATGTAATGTAATACAATGTAATACGATGTAATGAAATGGAATGGAATAGAATGGAATAGAATGGAATAGAATGGTATGTAATGCAATGTAATATGCGTAATATGCTGTAATATAATGTAATGTAATGTTTTTTGATATATACCATATAGCCTCATATAGCCTATACACGTGTTCATGAGGCTGTTGATACCAAATAATTAATGGTACGTAAACATGTTCACATTGTTTAGAGTTCTATATTGATGACCCCCAGAATGGATTTGTTTGGTAAATAAAACCACTATATCAATGTTCTTCTCTGTCTTTCAGCATGAAACATCAATCATGGAGATCTATGAACTATAAATATCTATAAATTGCCATCTTTGCAGCTTAAATCAGGTATAAATCAGGTAAATCCTCCACTTTTTTTCGCAGCTCCACACCATTTTTCGATGATCCCCAGGCGCGCCCCCGTTGCTGCGCCTCCGGGTTGATCCCCAGTCGTAGGAGGCCGATGGTGTCTCTGGGACTCAAGGCGCGCGTGGCGGCGCTCAGCCGCGGGGATAACAGCGCTAAGCCACTCAACCCCGCCAGACCGCGGCCTCGGTTTTTTCGGAAATTTTCAATGGATTGGTTGGCTCACGGGAATTTTTGTGACCGGAAAAGCCCATAGAAAAAATGTGGGGAAGTCGATGGTTTCCGGTGAAGATTTTCCCGTGAAAACCAATCCATTGAAATTGGTGGCATTCCTATACCATGATTATTATAATCATCAACCCCATAGCATGATTACAGTATGATGATCATAAACATCATACCATATTTCGATAATTAGGAAACTTTGATCTTTTTGGGGACATTGGGCTGAGCGGACTGACGGCAGGAAAAACCTGTTTAAGAGGGAAAAAAAACCTGCCAGTGATGATACTCTCCTTTTTGGGGATTCGGTATGATAAATGTTTGGAATCGGAGACCATCGTTGGATCTAGATTCGTATGAATCATAATAAGTGTTTTTTTTTTTATATGTATAATCCATACATAATTCCATGTTATAATATGTTTTCTAATCATATTATAACATAATTCCAATGGATCCATCATTGGAATCCAGTCGTGTATAATATGTATAATCCATTGGATCCATTGGAATGATCTCATCGATTGGTATTTATCCAATCTTTTTTTGGGTGAACGCTTCGATCTTCCTATTGTATTCCTATTGTATTCCTATATTGATACCTTAAAAGACAACAGTTAGGATGAGTTTGTTTTTGGATTAGTTTGTATGTAAGATTGACCTAGTCATAGTCATGTATCCAATTGATCCAGTCCTGTTTTTTGATGAAGATTGGATGGATGGATCCGGTTGCAGCATCGCTGCTGGCTTTTTCGATCCAAAAAAAATATGAGAAAAACGTCAACGCTTCAGAAACTACGACAATTTGTGCATTAAAAATGACTGGAAACTATGGGTGTGGTCGGCTGATTCAAATTATTCTTTTAAGCAAGATCTGGCTGGAATAGGTGAAAACTCAGGGTTGTTGAATAAAGTGTTGTTGATGCTCTCCAAAGCTGGTTGGACAAAAAAAACTCAGCCTGACGTGTAAGCTGCGACGCGAAGATCATTCGACGTGTAGCGAATTCCATGAAAAGTGGGTTGGTCGCAGGAATTCACGGACCAACCGTGAGAAGTGATGGAAACTGTCCCAGTCAACAATCACAACAGCTGGTCATAAACAACGAATCATCCCATGAATTCCTTCCCCCGTTATTAAACACCCAGAAACCATAGTTCAGTAGTTGATTTCCACGTAGGAACCATAGTTTCTGGGTCTGTTTTTTATATCAACGGATGGGATGACTAGAAAAACCACTGTCCCCAATTTACGGGACGGTGATGGACGGTGACTTCTTCGGTCACCTTCATTGCCAATGGTGACTTGTTTGCATAAAAAAACCTGGTTATCCCCTGGTCAAAACCAAGCGTTGATGGAAAATCATCGATCAGTTTGTCTGGGGCATCTCGACTTCCGCAACTGGCGCGGCTTCCGCGCGGAGAGCCTTGAGAGCCTTCTGTCCTGAGGAAAAACTCTGGTATCGTAGCACGGAAAGTTTGTGAAAAAGACCCCAGACTTTCCTGAGATGAGGGTAATTCATATATGGTTAATATACGGATACCCCAGATTCACCATATATCATATATAGTGGATTTACCCATAATTTAACTCTGGAACCCCAGAAAAAAATTCCGATGATATGTTGATGGCCAAAAGATGATCGTGTCAAAAATTCAGGGCGAGAGCTGGAGAGCTGGAGCAGTCGACAGTTGTGTTTTTTTTCCTTGCTAAACTGCAATACACAAATTAGTACACCTACGCGGGGCCTACGCAAATCACTCCTCCCAAGCAAGACTGCCTACGCGAAGGTTACCTTTCAAGAAGTGCCTACGCGGTTGCCTCCGCGAAAGTTGCTGCAACGATCTCTTTACTTGACGTGATGTGATCACTAATTCTGGTTCAGAAGTGGAATAGAAAGAATTGGAAGATGACGATTCTTTGGGTGACTTGTGAAAGGAAGGCGGAAACCTCATCAAGAGTGGAGCACTGTGTCATGATGTGATCGGCAGTCATGATGAACTCATGGAAACATTAGAAAAGTGAAACGGTAAGACTTTGATGGGCTACGGGCCACAATTTGACCTAGGGCCTCCGCGTTTCCTACGCGAGGGCCTACGCGGAGCCTACGCGAAAATCCGAATCGAAAATGGCTGTTCGAAAACTTGGCACTTGTAATTTTCTGAAAAAGCGGTTGTTTCTTTAATCTCCCCTTTCTTCCAGCTAAACATATGAACCATACAATCCGTTCGCATTTAAAATCATTGTAAGCCACCAAGAAAAACAAGAGTTCGAGGTCAGAAACAAACAATCTAGAACATCTAAACAAGTGCCTACGCGAGACTGCCTACGCAGCCTCTCCTACATTATCCTACGTATATGCCTACGCGAAACCTACGCACCAAGCAGACTAGCCTACGCATGAATGATGTGAGTTCCTCCTCAATCTAAATTCCATCATCTGGAAAAAAAACGTGGCTCAAATTGTGCTTTTCATGAACCACTCAAGGTGGTGCTAATCCCCCGAGTTCTGTTTGGTTTATCAATTTTATAAACCATAGCTAGTTCGATACATCTACAACCCAACAGTTATTGGAGTTATAACATGTCTGGTTGGTGGTTTCAACCATCTTGAAAAATATGAGTTCGTCAATGGGAAGGATTCAACAATTTTGAAAAAGATGAGTTCGTCAATGGGAAGGGTGACATCCCATATATGAAATGGAAAATAATCGAAATGTTCCAAACCACCAACCAAATGTTCTAAACCCACCAAGCGATTTAGCTCACTGGGGCTTCATCCCAGTCCTCGACATCACCGGTGGGTCACGCGCCCCGGTGAAGTGTGGTGGCTGCGGCCCCATGGCCCAAAGCGGTTACCCTCTGGTAAACATACAAAAAACGATGGAAAATCACCATGCTATTCATGGGAAAATCAACTATTTCTACAGGATGGTGCCCCCCAGTGATGTTTGTTGGTTTATAAACCCCATTAGCTATAGTTATATCTGCCATAAACCATAGTTATTGGAGTTCTAAACCAATTTAGCTAACTATGGGGCACCACCTTGTATGGCCATTTTCAATAGTTATTTGTATGTTTACCAGGCCGGGTACCCCTTAAAGATGGCCATCAAAGAATAGTGAAGATCAACCCATTTTCACCGGCATCGGTTTCTCCCCCAGAAACCGATGCCGGGTTATCTCAGAATAAACCGCGAAAGCGGAACCCGGAAATGAATCATGGGGGTAAAACCATGCCATTTGCACCATCTCCCAGTCATCACCATTTCTTATGGGTGGTATAGACTGACCATTCCCAGTCATGGGTAGTTTATGGCATTGTTCTAACCACATTTGTTCCCATAGGAAAAAACGGGTTTTCTAGCATCGGATGGGATGGCCAACGATAGGGCGCGAAAACATGCACCCGAGTGAAATTTGACAAAGCAAAACACATATGCAAGCTGATTCATAAAATGGCGTTGTCTGAAAATTGTGGGGAAAAAACATGAAAGAAGAAACATCATCATGATGTTCCATGGAAAACTGGCCACAACTGGCGTATGTTTTATCAGACACACCCAACTCTAGTTTTTTGGTCAAAATTCTTGGATGATCTCCTGTGACATTTTACATCGTCGATGTCGTCCCTAGTGGGAGGATTCATGAATCCAAATGTATCTTGCGCTGCAGGCTCAGACTGCCACTTTCACAGTACATTGTTTATGATATATTTATATATACATTATATGTATGTATATATATATATATTATGTATGTATATATACATATTATATTATATGTATGAGAATATATATATATGTATTATATTATATGTATGTATATATACATATAATATGTATGTGTATATATATTATATGTACGATATATATGATATGTATGTATGTATATATATATATAATTTGTATGTACATATATATATATGTATGTATGTGTATATATAAAATGTATGTAGATATATAATATATACACTATGTATGTATATATATATATAGTATGTTAGTATGTTAGTATGTATGTATGTATGTATAATATGTATAATATGTATGTATGTATGTATGTATGTATAATATGTATAATATGTATAATATGTATCATATGTATAATATGTATAACATGTATAATATGTATGTATATATATATATATATAATATGTATGTATATATATATATATAATATGTATGTATATATATAATATGTATGTATATATATAATATGTATGTATATATAATATGTATGTATATATAATATGTATGTATGTAATGTAATGTAAGGTAATGTAATGTATGTATGTATAACATGTATGTATAATATGTATGTATACCATGTATGTATAACATGTATGTATAACATGTATGTATAATATGTATGTATAACATGTATGTATCACATGTATGTATCACATGTATGTATAACATGTATGTATAACATATATATATACAACATGTATGAGTATATATATATATAACATGTATGCATATATATATATAACATGTATGTATGTATATATATATGTATATATATAGTCTGTATGTATGTATATGTAATATTTTTGTGTATATATATACATAATATGTATATATTATATGTAAATACATATATATATATATTATGTATATATAAAATATGTAATATATATATATATGCTACAGGCCCTGCCACCCCCCCTCCCCCCCATGGGGTGGGTACCCCCCGTAGGTTCGACACTTGGAGGCTATATCGCAGGCCAAGCCCGTATCATTTTAGAAAGCGAAAGTAAAGAAAGTAAGAAAAAGCAGGCGCAAAATGGACGCAACCAGCCGCAAAATAGACGTAACCAACCGCAGAGAAACAGCACAGAGCAGCGCATCAAGCTCACCAAGTCGATGGAGCCGACGGAGCCGACCGAGACGACCAAGCCGACCAGGCCGACCAAGCCGACCCAGCCGACCAGGCCGACCAGGCCGACCAAGCCGACCAAGCCGACCAGGCAGACCAAGCCGACCAAGCCGACACAGCCGACCAAGCCGACCAGGCCGACCAGGCCGACCAAGCCGACCCAGCCGACAAGGCCGACCAGGCCGACCAAGCCGACCAAGCCGACCAAGCCGACCATAGACCGACTCCAGGCCGACTAAGCCGACCAAGCCGACCAGGCCGACCAAGCCGACCAAGCCGACCAGGCCGGCCAACCACAAGGCCGACCCCGCTGCATACCATACATATAGGCCTCGGGGCTCAATAGATTTGCATGGATCAAATTTGGCCCGGTGTTTCTCATGTGAGCGATGAAGTTCTTCCCGCTCACCGGCGGCCACATGCATGTGTCCAGCACGGGCACTACTTTATAACTTTTTGCCGCTGTTGTCCGGCCCGTCAGTCTGGCCGCATTCTGCCGGGTTCCACATTTGATGGCAGCAGTTTTGCCACAAATAACTTTTGTACGTTGGTTAGCAGGGCCCCGCGTGGTGACTTCCAATGCTCGCTCCTTGCAGTGGCCTAAAAGCATACCAATGATATGGCCCAAACTAGTCACTAGTTGGTATCAACAATCCCGAAAAAGGTGGTTCGAAGATGTTCGAAGCATGTATATTGAATTGCAATCCTAAGGGGTGAGTTCTGCACAGTCCGACTTGCTTCGCCGCGGCCTTCTCCGTGCTTTGAACTGAACAGAAATTGGTTGCCTACAGCATCTTAGCCCAATGTGCGATTCTGCACACGTACTGGCATGCATGTGAGGAAAGAACTATTCTACAACTGTCAACTCCCGCTAAAGACGGTGAACAGGGCAAGCCACAGTCACAGGTCACCGACGCGCATGCGTAGGAAGGGTTGTCATAAACAACAAGCTAGCCGAACAAATCCACAAATACCTTGATAAGTTTATAAAAATGCAGGTCACCTCTATATGGACAGAATCTAGGGACAGAAAACACCAACAACACAAAGCAAAGTGGCAAAGTTGCAGTAGTCAATCTTGGATGCTCAGCGCCGAAGGCCAGGAGGATGGGACGGACCGAGCTTGCCCAACGATGGGTAGGCGGTGCACCATGAGACCATACGATAACATTGTTGCACACAAACGTACGTGTTTACATACATGGCTCCCTCATCTACTCCTAGATCCTCGTCGGATTGCTGAATTTTTGCCTTTAAGAGAATAATTGCCTTTCTGATTTGCAGGCTGTTTTTTCAAAGCAGCGGCTCTTTCCATGAATTCATTTAGATCCATCTTGATTCATTATGATCCATCTTGATTTCATTAAGATTCATCTTAAGTTCACCTTGATTCTAGATCTGAACCATGATCATTCCCTCGGCACAGCCCCATCCAAATCCCATCGCTCTGTTTCATTGGTCCCATTGTCCCATCGTTGATCATAAATTATTCGATCATGAAATATCGATCATGAAGTATTGATCATGAAGTATCGATCATTAAGTATTGATCATGCATTGTTTGATCATGGGCTATCGATCATGGATTAGTTGATCATAAATTCTTCGATCATGAAGTATCGATCATTAGTTATTCGATCATGTAATATCGATCATGAAGTATTGATCATGAATTGTTTCATCATGGGTTATCTGATCATGGATTAGTTGATCATAAATTATTCGATCATGAAGTATCGTTCATTAATTATTCGATCATGAAGTATCGATCATGAAGTCTTGATCATGAATTGTTTGATCACGGGTTATATGATCATGGACTATTTGACCATGAACTATCTGATCAAACACTCATGATCGATCGGATAAACTATTTCCGGTATATGATCATGATCGAAATGTTTGATCGTGAATTCCATGATCGACATGTTTGATCGTGAATTCCATGAGGTACCTCATATTTTATTACAACTATACGGTTTTTCCAGCGGCGTCTTTTCCCGGGTTTTCGGTGTCTTTTCCTGGGGTAGCGGCGTCTTTTGCCGTCCAGCCAATTTAAGAGATCAAAAATGAATGTATCACTTCAGTCCCGGCAGTTCAGCACCTCGACCCTCATGGATGGTGAGCAAGACAGACCATAACAGGCCAACACCTTTATTTAGTTTTACAAAAATGAAAAATAAGTGTCAATATATATATATATATATCTATCTATCTATCTATCTATCTATGTATTTACCGTAATACAGATAGTTCTACCTATCCGTATATATATATGTTTACAGCTACATCTGCTCATGTTCGTGTATTTCCAAACACATTCCAAATGTTTTTTTTTGTAACTGACTATATAAATACAGCCATAGCTATCTAAAGAACTGCTTGCTGTTTGGCGTTGGATATGTCAAAGCTAAGCGTGGCAGACATGAACCATTTGGTGCGTGACAATGGGTCATGTGGATGGTTGTGCCACCGCTTGGGCCGAAACAAGCGCAGGCCAAGAGACTGCTTCTAGTCCGAGCAACTCGTATTGGGATTCAGATGGATTCAGGGGCTGCGGGTGTTCGCACCCATGGGCATGCTTACACATCGAGGCAAGCTTCCTGATTTGCGGGGTACATGTCAGCAGTCATGACGTATGTTATGGTCATATATTCATGAGACCGAATCACGAGACCGTATCAGCACATCACTTTTTGTGTATAGCGGAACCTACATGGCATCATGTATTGGCCATGACTTTCTCGCATGGCTCATTCGTTCCAGTGCATGGATGCTGCCATGCACGTTTTGACTATACGATGACTGGGGCGTCTTCATCTCATGGTTCATGGGGGCATGTAGGGCGCAATAGGTTGGACCACGATGAATGCCATCCGGCATCTTCCAAGGTTTTTCACAAGCGCTGTCGCAATTGGTGGCAGAGCACATGGCGCAAGCTGAAGCAGGCCGGCCTGGGGACTCGGGAGGTGGCGCCGGCGTGGACAATGTCGACCACTTTCCAGCTGCTATGAAAGAGTGGATGGCCAAGCATGGTCAAGCCCGTGCACTTCTAGAAATTGCGCCGCCGCCAATGCCAGATTTCTTGCAAGCCCCTCCGAGCCAATGCCAAAACCAAGCAGAAGGGGCCGCAGTGACACACTCCCAAGAATCTCATGACCCGTCTTCAATTTTGCAGCTCTGGCAACCAGATTGGCTACCCCGCCTCTTTGACGATGTCGGCACGGTCACAGTGGTACAAGACATTTGTGAAAGACCCGCTACGCTCGCAGAAGAGACCTCGGCTTTCCGTCGAAAAGTTGATCGATCCTTTGGATGGCACGGCAAAGTCTTGAATGACCAGCAGAAGTCCCAGCGCGCAGCCGCACAAACGACCTTGCAGTCCCTTGCCTCCACAATTGTCCATTCAGATCTACATGTCACTGTGCCAACAGTATTGAAATTGCCATGCTGCCAAGATCAAATTCATGGGTAATTCATGGGTAATTCATGGGTAGTTATTGAAATCCAAGTGGACGCAACGAGCCGAAACACGTGCTGCCGCAAATCCTTCCTTTGATGCGCAATGTTACCCTATACGCGGCGTAACCAAAACGACCCTAATTAACGCAAAGCTATCGCCCAAAGTAGCCAATTAGCGCTGCGACGCGACCTTACATGCATGAACAAAGTGCATGCAGCCGTTGCAAGCTAGCTCAAGGGACCTTTGCGGCGAGACATCTTGCAGAAATGGATGTTCCAGCGATGGATAAGTAGCAACGATGCGAGACTGCTTTGAACGCAAGCGAGAAAAAAAGGCACCATGGTTAAAAAGTTTTTCACACATAAGCGATTACAGCCAGATCACGTCTGCTTGCAAAAGCGATCTGAGCGCGTCAGCTTCTTGCACTTTCCCATTGCTGGTGCAGACACATGCACGCTCTGCTTCCTCAGCTAACCTCACAAACCCTCCCTCCCGCTCTCGCCATTGCAAGGAGCACTACAAATACAAATTTTGCGGCGGCTTGTCAGTGTGTCACCATGATGCATGTCTCTCTACATAACTCTTCTTTCAAGCACCTGTCCTTACCTGCTAGCGCTTCCCACCTAGCCGGAAGCTAGACCTTCTATAACCGTTCCCAAAGTCAACATTCAATCCTATACAAAAATGGTTTGCTTCAAGTGTGTTAACCGCATTTCCACGTTCTTTGCAGTGCCTGGTGCCGAGATTGTTGGCGACGAGCCCCGATGATGGCAAGTCTGAGCTGTTGCAATGCAAGGTCTTCGCTCTGGTGGCCGGCGAACTCTATCGCAGTCACGGAGGACAACTCTTTGAGTATTGCAATGGTGCATGGGCCCCTGCTTCCCAAGGGCTTTCCTCAGTCAACCTCGAGTTCATCCTCCAAGCCCTGCGCAGATCTCAAGCATACTTTGCCGTCATGGCCCAGATGAAGCACAAAAGGACCTACGAAGACATCGTGTTCGAGATCAAAGCTATCCAGCAAGTGGGTCTGGAGGACGTACTGCTACAGTGGCAACTTCAAGACATCCTGCCCCGAAAGGCCGAAGTCAAGGCCAGAGAGTGGCTGTATGGTTTGTCCGAGTTGTGCCGCCACTTGCGGCATCAGTTTGACGAGCACTCCAGGACAGGAAACGTCCCACAGACTGACTCCGGGTTACGGGTTTGAATTCAAACTACCATGCTCCATGCTAACGTGCCAGCACGATAGTCAAACGAAACCACACCGGATTCAGCGCCATTCCTATGTACGGTCTCCAGCATTCATTGCCCAAGTGTGGTTTTGAGACTGTTCATGGAAACATACTCTTCACTGTGTGGGTACAACACGAGGACTATCGTCAAATGTTTTCAACGTTGGGGCGATGAAGAAATCCGCAGCAAACAGCAGCCCGGGCTATGCTTCCAAGATGCTTTCATTTCTACTGTGGATGGACAACCGCAGCAACTGCAGAAGGATGCGCGGCATGGATGCTACGTTGCCATCCCCACGTCCATCTCGCAGACACCTTCCATGGACACACGTCGACGCTATGCCAGCATTCTCTTGTCTTCCTTTGCAGGCTCGGCTGGCCTTCAAGTCTTACTCAATCAATGTGCCCTCGTGGTGGCCCGGGTGAGGCAGCCAGATGTGCTCCACATCGTTGTGGGCTGTGGACATGATGGGAAGACTTTGATATTTGTCGACCACATGCAAGCTGTGTTTGGCAGCGCTTTCAGCTGCGCCCCGTGCAGTATGCTGCAAGCGGACCGTGAATTTCAGGTCCAGGGCGTCAACTTCATCCATTCATCTTTCCTGACTTTCGATGAATGCAAAAGAGATCAGGGAATCATGGAGGATACCGTGAAAGTGTTCGTGGGTGGGGGTTGGCTACCATTGCGGAGAAACCATGAAGCAGAAACCAAATACGGACACTGGGCACATTCCGCCAAGGTGTGGGCTATGAATGTCGGAGATATCCCGCGGGTGCCCACTGCAGAAGAAGTCTCGCACCAAAGGCGCTTCCGCTGCACCTACATGCGGTCCAAGTTCACGGCCATCCAAGATGAAGTTGATGTTGCCAACAAAGTCTTCCAAGCAGATCCCAGTGCCAAAGAGTTCATGGCCTCTGGCGCCGCTGTTTGGTGCTTCTTTCAGGATTTTCTTTTTCCACATCTTCGCTCCAATGGTCTGCAAAAGTGCAGTGACAACTTGCAGTACCTCATGCCCGAGACCACTTTGTACAAGGACACGCATTGGCTCCTCCAAAAGATGAGCCGCTGCAGCGAGCGCCCAAATCCCGATGAAGGACAAGGACCTGCACATCCAGAAATTCCGGTAGTGCAAAGCCGCTCCGAACGGATCATTCGTGAGACCCATGCGGCTGTCACCACTCAGTTTTTCTCTGCCAAGGAAGTCAATCGCCTTTTGGCCCCTTCCAATCCAGGTTCAGCTCCGCCAAAGAAGCCGGGGAAGAAACTCAGAGTAGAGTACCTCAAGGAGTCCATCCTCGAGTTCCCCCATCTCATTCGGTCCGTTGATGGCCAAGTCCGTGCTGGGAATGCGTTGGACCGCTTCGAACGTCGATGTTTGAATGTTGACGCCTGGCAGACTTGCCTCCAAACATGCTTAGGTGAAGCTCGGGTTGAAGAAATTGCTGGTACTTGGCAAGATTGGTCTTGGCCACAAGCTGCAGAAGCTTCACTGGCAGACACCATGGATGACCCCACTGGCCTTCCTCGTGGTGACTCTTGGACCATCTCTTGCAACATCAACCTTGAAGGATTGAAGCAGTATGCTGCATCCACACTTGGAGAGAAGGGTTTGCACGCCCGACAAGTTGCAGAGATTTGTGAAAGAGACAACGAGACCGTCGGAGACTTGGTCACTGTGAAGACTACAGGGCATCAAAAAACAGTGGCAGGTGAATCGCTCGGACGTGTCTTCTTTCCATGGGTGAGCTTTCCAACCCTATCTCGTTCCGCCAGAAGCTACGGCAGCCCACTGGGGACAAAGGAGTTCGACATGCCCAATGCTGTGATCCACTTTGCCCTCAAGTTCGCTGAAGAGTATGCCATGGACTTGCCGTGCTTTCGGCGGTATCACGCTTTCAAAGCTGAATGGCGCCAAGTGGTGATGTCTTGGTTCTCCTTCTCAGAGCATGATGCCAAAAAGGCGCTCCTCATGGCCTCTTTTGGCTTTGCATTTCCATCTCGCGCGAGCGGTTCACCTGTGGCCTGTCCCTTGTTAGAGGGCCTCGCTGCAGATGCCATGAAGTTGCGGGAGGTGCTTTGTCAAAAATTCCCCTCGGTAGTTCAAGACATGAAAGCAGCAAAGCGCCCGCGGCCCGAAACTTCCGCCATGGCTTTCTTGCTTTTTGACAAGGAACACAAAGCAATGCAGCTGTTCTGCGGCCTCCTGCCCAAACATGGCTTCGCTCTAGTTGCACCAGTCTTTGACGCAGTGCTTGCTGTCCCGCAAGCGAATCTGAGCATGCCAGGTGAAGAAGTAGATTCAGCAGCAAGTGAACAGGCTTTGCTGGAAGATTTCCACAGTCAGACTGGAATCATGATGCAGGTCAAACCACTGGACAGAAGCCCGCCCATGCTCACAGTGCAGCAAATCCTGGAATCCATTTTGGAAAACAATGCTGGGATCAGGATGGGCGCGATCCATCACATTCCTGGGTGTTACTCCTGTATCGGCACTGCTCTCTTGAATTTGTTCCCCGAGGAGGCTGACCCTTTGACGGCCGCAACATCCAACTTGCCAGAGCCTATGTCCTACCAGCACATGATGCAGCTTTGTCCTCAATTTTCCATAGAGCCTGTGTCCTTGTCTCAAGCAGAGCAGTGCGGCGATGGAATGTGTTTCTTGCTACATGCATCGAGCTCATCAGCCAAGGATTGTGGCCATGCATACGGACTGAAGCTGGTCCAGGAAGCTGCTCACATTTACAGCTCCGCCGAGGAAGAATGCATCCAAACCAATGCAAAAAAGTTGTGGAAGCACTTGTCGAAAGCTCACGGGACGCAGGTTTTCCAAGTCAATGTGCTCTCCGCAGACGATCGCGCGGCCAAGAGGAGGAGAAAGGAAGCACCTTCGACTTGCCTGGAAGTCCAACTGAAAGCAGGAATGGAGGCCGAGGAGGGCTGGAGCTCCGTGGCGCCACAAGTTCGCGCCTGCATGGAAAGAGAAGTATTGCAAGAGATTACCCGTCTGGGCCTCAGTCAGTGATCGCCGCCCAAGTGCGAGCGGGACGAATGAAACGTGATGTGTTTTTTTGGCTTTCTATTGCATGGGAACAGGGGTGTGCCTTGCTGGCTGACATGTGCACACATGTTTGGACAGCGCAACAAACACACTTCTAGCGCAACTGAGCCAACTGACTTTCAGCGTGACCTTGGCGCTAAGACCTGCCCGTGCCCAGGTCTCAAAAATCAAGCCGGCTGCTCCAACCCGGACGCCTCAGAGGCAACTTACAAGTGCATCCTGTGCCCCTTCCGATCGTTCAGCAGGAGGTCCTCCTTGCTCACGCATGTCGAAAAGTACCACAAAGCAGAGAAGAACTTTGTCACTGTCAAGCAGCAGTTTGCTGTGGCGTGCGCTATCTTTGAACAGAAGCAGGCAGGGCCCAAGGGTCGGAGAGTTTGTGTCCTCTCGTATTCTGATCGCATGTATAAAGTATCATGCATATACCCCTGCGAGGCTTTGAGTCCTTTGGCTGCGCGTCCTGCCGGCACGGACACCCTGCTTTCCCAAGCTGCCATGTGCATGCGAGATTGGGTCTCTTTGGACGCAGCTTCCCTTCACTTTGTGTCGAAGCAGAATACGGTCGACATGGCTTTGCTTCTGACCCGCGCTGGGCCGAAGTATGTCCTCAAGCAGCATACAGCCCAGGCACTCCGAATCAACAAGATGCTCTACATTAGCAATGACTTTGCGGACTTGGTGTTGGCCAAAGCCATCAAGCACAGAGGCAAGATCCACAGCATGTTCAATGACATCACTACTGAGTGGGTTTGTCAAGGTAGTCCTTGTGCTTGGCTTGGGTGTCGCCGAGGGGACACACGCCAGGCCGTCTTTGAGCAGGTCATGGCTTTGAAGCCTGTGCAGGCCCTGCGAACTGCTTTGATAGCAACTGCCACCGTGCATGCGGAGTGGGTGGTTTGCAGTCATGATGCGACCTACCAAGTCCTTTTCAGCGCCATCGGACAAATGCCCATGCAGCAGAAAGAAGGAGAATTCCATGCTTTGCATACCTTCCTTGGCCGGTCTGGAGCTGTCCCTGGTTTCAGCCTCCAGCGCACAGAAGGTCCGGATAGTTTCCGCTCTGCTGTAGCCCAGGTGCTCCCACATGATGCCCGCATGACAGTGAAGTATATGTTCTCTGACAATCCTGCTTCCGTGGAAGGTTCCACTGATGTCTTACCAAACCTGGAAGCTGTTGCAGAAGATGCCTTGCACTTGGTGTTGCGAGTGGAAGCTTGCACTGGTGAGAAGCGGACGGCCTTGTCATCGAACCTACTCCGGATTATGCTGCGCTTTCGCTTGCCATGTGCTGGATCCTTCTTCCATGGTGGCACTGATGGAGATGATGAGCATGATGCAGGACAGTGGTCAGATGGAGTTGCCAAAGATGGTGTGCCAGCGGACTGGGATTGGGATGCCCGGGTGACAAAGCCGTACTCCGGCCACCAGGAATTCATCAATGACATCGAAGTGCTTTGTGCCCAACACTTGGACCAAATGAAGCGAAAGGATAAGAAGGGGCGTACAATCCAGCAGGTCTTGAAAGCCGGCACGTCTTACACGCACTTCAGGTACCTGTGGAACGGTTCCCACATCATAGCAGCCCTTCACCAAGCCATGCCCCCGAAGGAAGTGGAGCTCCTTAGCTTTGGCACGTGCAGCAATGAGGCTTTGCACTTTCAGCTCAAAGTCTGTCAAGAGCAAATCATCCAGCAGCACATCCAAACATTTCCTCCGCAGTTGGAAGCATTTAGCTTAGCAAAGCTCTTGGCGCATCATTCGGCCGCTTACTCTCCAACCTTGGCACAAAGAAAAGAATCTGAGATCTTAAGCCTCATGCAAGGTTGGCTGACCAAAGGCTTTCTCCCGCCGCTTGAAGAGGGGCGCATCCAGCCAACACTTTCCAGAGAGGACTTGCGCAGACCTGTGCATCAATTGGACCCGCAGAAGGTGGCCATCAGAAAGGACAAGGCAAGGGAGAAAGCAAAGCAATGGAGCAAGGAAGTCCAGAACAGGAAGCTCAAGCATCCGCAAAGCCGTCTGCAAAAGCCCGTCTGCAAACGCACCGTCTTTACCCAGAAGAAGCTTCTTGACTGCAAACATCCACATGTAGGCTTTGTTGCGCAAGCTGAGCAACAATTAGTGCATGGTACACATGCGGCAGATCAAAGTTCTGTAGCGCTACAACACCCAACGATGGTCAAACTTAGGGCTTTGTCCAACCAGCTATTTCTCCTCTGAATTCGTTATTCGAAACTGCGCTAACCTTCAAGGAAGGCATCCCAACCATTTGTTTTACCATGCGTTCCTTTTGCCAACCCGCCAACGCATGCGCTGCGCAGTCCGAGTCCGCCGCACTTGAAGCTACGCCTGCCGCCCTTCTGAATAATGCAAAGCTCCGGACTAAATTCGAATGCGCGCAATTTGCTGCATCCCACTTATACCGCGACAGCTGCCTCGCCTTTTTGGTTGCAAGGTGCTTCACAGCTGCTGCATTGGCATCGCGCATGCATTATCTGCTGGCCATTTTGTGCCCCAATCACATGCTGTTGTCTTCACGTGTGACATTGCCATTCATGTCCAGACTGCTTACCCCCACCCAGTAAACTCCTCTAGCTTGCTGGTTAGTTGCCTGCGTGCGCAAACAGTTGCAAGTATAAACTTGTGATGCAGCCGGCGTTTTGTGGTCATTTGAAGGCCGAGACTCCGACCTTGTTTCTTTTTAAACATGTTTTTCCACATAGAAAGCGTGCAATCCTACCCTGACCACTATAGCCGTTGTTGTCCATGTAGCTCCCCAGAAGCTCCAGGTATCCAGGGTCGACGGCCCCATTATTCTACCATGCACGATGCTTTTGGCCGCGTAATTCTAAAACAATCTCAGACACACCTGCCATCGATCGGTGGCGCAGGAACCAGAAGCCAATCGTCTAATCGCAAGTTGAAGCACGATTTTAAGGTGACAACAGCTGCAACACATCACTTGTTGAGTACGTTGCGTTCTAACGATTGGTGTGATTGTCCTGCTCGCTTGGATTAAATACCGGAACGACCTTGCGCAATGCCCAGGCGGCCAAGTCGTCGCGCAGCAGTGCCTGCTGATGTGGCATCCTCTGCAGACGCGCCGCTTTGAGGTGTGCAGCCACGTGGGAGAAAGTGGAGAGGCATGTTGGAATAATCCTTCATGTCTTTGGGGCGTTACAATCTCAGCCATGGTTTGTGAACAACATTCATGTCTTACACTGTACACGTCTACAGGCAGGTGGGTTGCAACATGTAAAGTTTCTGTAAAGCATGGTTTTTAGTCTGCTTCTGGGTGCAAGCGGATGCAGAGAATATGGAGCGCCGAACCTGTGGATCAGTGGCATCTTTCCATTGCCTAGCTCGTTGGGGGCACATAGTGCCATTTATGAGTTCCATGCCGGTGCGTTAAAGACGGTCGCAAACATGAGTATACATGTCATTGGGAACCGATCCAGTCTTCATGTCACATGGCCAACCGTCATTGGTGGCCACACCGGAACGGATATAGGTGTGATGTGTGGTTCGAAACTTGAACGACGATCGAAGTCAAATATTGAATTTTTGTTCCTCGTGCCTATCAGCGAACTCGATGTTGCAGTGGCAGTGCGTGCCTTCAAGTCATCAGAGAATTCATTGTCATCGGCCAGGCCCCGGTGGAGCTGAGTGTGCTGTGCAAGAAATTCGTACTGCGCCCGTGTGCCACCATGACTTCCTTCATGGTGATTCGCGCACAGCGCTAAGCGGTTTTATGAGAATGGCCCCGGACCCTGTGTGCGGATGTTGCAATAAGCTGCAGTCCCGAACTCATTTTCAATAGAAGATTTCAAGTTTCAGTGTTCAAATCCATGTGTTGAAAGTAATAACGTTTTTCACAAGGTCCACGTTCCTGCCCGCCGGCATTGTGTTGGTATAGCCCCGAAACAAATTACATTGTTCGCGCAGGGTACGGGCCCAAATCAAACCTGCCGTGAAGCCACTGTACGTCATAACAACCCGGACCTTCCTGAGTTCAAGGCTGTGGTCATTTTTTTTGTCGACGCGATCGTTTAATGTATTCATGTTTCGCCGTGTGGTTTCAAATTAGATGTCACATGACAATCTGCAAGCTCTCTGTGTACGCCGGCCGTCAAGGGTCCATAAGTCTATGGGTAGCGACCTTTGACACACTATTTTCCAACATTTTTCAAGTCAGTCATAAAGTTTTGTGGCTCCATGTGCGATATTCACAGAGGGGCTTCTGATGTCACCAAATTAGTTTGGACATCTGCTCGACCAGGCTGTCCTGCTAACAATCAGATGCAGGCGCCTAGAGCACCAAGAAGGAAACACGAAGCCAGAAAAAATGACGCAAGCTAACTTTCTACAAACCAAAGGTTTTTCCTGAAACTCACGATTTCCGTCGCGCAAATTCCACTATCGATGCTGAGGGTAAGACGTATAGAAGCAGGCCCTAATACATTCAAGGAGGTCAGTAGGTAGTCAGATCGATACAGACGGACATGCAAAAGCTTGGTAGGTAAGGAGACAGAAGAACATTTAGACCTGTGGATGAGATCATGACAACAAGTATGTCATCATTCGGCCATATCATGTGATCCCAAGACATGCGCTTGCAAAGGCTACGACACGGAATGTTCAGCGCAAGATCTTTTCAGAACATGTGCAACAGAACGTGTTTGAGATATGTCGCAGAAGTTCACACAGCATGGGCTTTGGAGGTTTTGTCAGCGCAACCATGTCAGATTTTCTCGTTGTGTTCAGTTGAACCCGGGCATGCGCAATACATCCATGTGTATACATACACATCTGCAGTGCATATGAATACTTTTTGTAAATATATGTACATTGAAATATATGCACATATGTCGTTCAATGTCCACGTATAGGTACTTACTTGTTTATACTTTACACACGCGTTCATGTGAACCGAATTACAAAGAGAAACCTGCAATGCGTCTGTCAGATGATGTTAACTCTGGCGTTTGCAGGTGACTGGAAGACATCTCTGTGTTTTGCCGGAACGTGCATTTTTTTGTGATACGTGGTTATCCGTTCATAGATACATAGCCGCAGGTAAGATGTACGTATGTGTGTGTACATATTTCCATATTAACATACATGTAGATATAGATAGTGCAATTCTATGTACAAAATGAAAGCAAAATGGAGCCGCAAAATGGACGCCAAGCGTCAAAGGCACGGGTACCCCCCCCCACCTGTGGTGGTGGGGGGATGGTATACTCCCCCTCCTCCCCTGTGGTAATGGCTGTGGCGGTGGGGGGGTGGTAGTTATGAAAATTGGTAGTCAACAGATATTAGGTGTATAGTATATAGTATTGGGGAATTACATACGGTTGTAAATAATGTAGGTGTATAGGTATATAGGCATGCAATGGGTAGTATATTAGGTATGTAGTAGGTTATACAAGGTATCTATTAGGTGTGTAGTGTTAGGTATGTAGTGCTAGGTTTTCTGTATGTAATATTTAGTAGTATTAGGTACGTATAGTATATGCTTTATATACGACATATATGATGTAAATATATATATGTATGGTGTGTAGAAATATTATATATATATATGTATATACATATATACGTCATATATTTAAATAAATATATATATATACGTTACATATATATATATGCCCCCATATGAAATCTTCCCCCTTCCCCCCTGTGGCTGGTAGTGCCCTTGTATTCATACCTATGTCTTCGTCGTTGCATGCTTCCTTTTTTCTGCCCTATATGAGATTTCCACCCCCTGTGATTCCTTGCACCATAAAATCCATGTTTCGGGCCTTGGGCCCCAGTACTGGTTTAGGTCTGCGTAGTTCATGGAGCCGCGTTGTTTTTCGCTGTCTTCTCAAAATAAGTGAGTGCTTTTTTGCTGTCTGTTCAAATAATTGAAAGCTTTCGAAAGCTCTCCATGCAAGTGTAATTGGCCGAGAAGGACCGCCCGATTGCTTGAAGGGAGCCTTACACTCCCAGCACGATTGATCATGAACATCGACAAGATTTTGGGACCACGTAAGCCCAAAATGTCCCATATCCGGTAGGGCCGGTAGGGTTTGCAAAATGGGAAAAGAATCATCAACTATGAGATTTTGGTGCACCTTATTTTTGGAAAAACCTGGTATACCCCCAAAGGGTTATCCTGAAAAGCGGTTCGTATGTCACACGGCACGCAGAAAAGGATCATCAGCATGTCATCCTGATCTTTGAAAAGCCAGGGCAGCCAGGGTCAAAAATAGAACTTCGCCATGGATTGTGGCATCATTTTGGGGCTTTGATGGTTTTTGGATGGTTTTTGGATGGTAAGATGACCATCCAACTCGCCTAAAAAGGGGAGCTGTTCAAAAAAAGGCAGGCCTTGAAGCTTCGCTGATCGTAGAATGATCTTATTCAAATTCTGAAGTCGTGAAACTCATGAAACTCCGGCGAAATCATTGCTGTACATTGACATATTGACATGTCTGAGTAGTATGCTCCATGTATTGAGTAGTTTCACCATCTTTTTTATATCTATAATCATCACCAACTGGGTCTTTTGAAACTGCAAAAATATTAATGAAACATACTCTTTGTTGTCATGGAAAGTTCCCCTTTTGAGATGATCTTCCCAACAAAAAAAACATGTCTAGCGCGGAGTTCCCTAAAAAAAATCTGGCGATTGCAATCTCCCGGATTTTTTCTGGGACCATCTCGCCCTGAGGATGGGGGGAACCGATTGAGGACGGAGGTACCGATTCCATGTATTTCTGGCCTATTTTTCAGGGCTAAATTTCAGGGGATATCCCCACAAAATATGGTCTGAAAAATGGTACATGACCTCCATTTTAAGATCCTGAAATTCCCATTGATCATCTAGATTGGGGAAAAGAAAGAAAATTGCCAGATGAGATCACCCACATTTAACCAGCAACCAGGGAACACGACTCATGTGTCGGTCCCTCATGGCACTGTTCCGCATTGCACTGTTCCGCGTTGCGCTGGGCACGGATGTTAGCCAAGGCTCGACCCTCATGAAGTGTGAGCCACTAGACAGGCCAAACATCCAGGCTGTCCCATCTGCAGGGATCAATGGGAATTCCAGGATCCTAAAATGGAGGTCATGTACCATTTTTCAGACCATATTTTGGGGGGTATATCCCCTTACATAGCCCTAAAAAATAGGCCTTATATATGATAGGTACCTCCATTTTAGGATCCTGAAA